GCCTTTCTCATCACACTGAGCACAATCGATGCTCCTGGAGGTCAAAGAAATTTTTCCTCCTCGCTTTCCAAGAAAAAGTTTCCCAATGGTCCTTAGACAAAATCAATTCCAGGATGGCTTCTACACTGATCGCTCACCTGCTCCTCCCGGTTCAAATTCACAATTCAATCATATAAGTGAAGCCAAATCATTTCCAACATTCTAGGGAGACATTTTATCTTTGACCACATCCCAAACTGAAAATTATCTGATAAAGCCCATAACGAAAAGAAGCAAGCCTACCCTAGATCACGCCTCCTCCACGTTTTGCAAAACTTAAAAACTGAGAACTCACAGAATGCTACCATCAAAAAAACTCCAGGTCCACGGTGTATGCAGGGATCTTAAAGAGCTGCCTGGAAGGATTCTTTGACTTTTACCCAAAGAACCACAGGAACAGATGGAGAACTTCTAAAGTCCTACAGTTCTTCACATGCACACATGCTTTTTCTCTCCAAACCTGGAGAGAGAAGAAAGAAAAAACAAACCCCATATCCCTATTCTAATTAATAGTCATTTTAAGTGACGTAAATACACCTGCATCTATGTAACCACATGTAGCATTTACTAATAGCTGATCTGTGTGAATACAAGTCAAGAGACAGAGGCATTTCTTAGTCAACATAATCACACTATCTAGTAACTAAGTCTAGTCATTAAGAAGGAGCCCAATACAAAAAATTAAAAATAGAACTACCATACGATCCAGCCATCCCACTACTGGGTATTTATCCAAAGAGCTTGAAGTCAGCAATCCCAAAAGTCCTATGCACCCCAATGTTCACTGCAGCATTATTTACAATAGCCAAGACATGGAAGCAACCTAAGTGTCCATCAACAGTCGATTGGATAAAGATGATGTGGTACATATATACAATGGAATACTACTCAGCTGTAAAACAGAACAAAATCATTCCATTTGCAATAACATGGACGGACCTTGAGGGAATTATGTTAAGTGAAATAAGCCAGCGAGAGAAGGATAATCTGTGTATGACTCCACTCATATGAGGAATTTAAAATTATGGACTAAGAACAGTTTAGTGGCTACCAGGGGAAAGGTGGGGTGGGGGGTGGGCACAAAGGGTGAAGTGGTGCACCTACAACACGACTGACAAACATTAATGTACAACTGAAATTTCACAAGATTGTAACCTATCATTAACTCAATAAAAAAAAATATGGAAAAAAAAAAGGCGCCCAATAAAGAGTGAAGTGCTCTGAATAGCATGCGCTAAAGGGATACTTTTCAGAAAAAATCAAACCACTCCACACATTCAGAGTTATTTTCAACTAATTCTTAAACAAACAAACAAACAAACAAAAAGATTTCAAAGTCCCCTGAATTCCCAGAGCATGGTTGTCCTTAACATTTAAATCCAGATAATTTATATTCTGGTGGTTCTTTAATTTGCTAATGTACCTATTGCCCCCCCAAAGTGGAGAGTATGCTTTTCAGATGTTAGTACAAAATCCACTTCCTCTGGGAAGGAGATTACCTTCTGCTTTTAAATGTCCTGGCACATCATAAAGTGTGGAACTAGAAGAGACCCTAGAAAGAATCCAGCTCCAAGATTCTCAAACCGAGATACACATACTTACGCTCTAGGAGCCCCCAGAGAAATAAGGCGCATCTTCATCCAGTGCTTTCAGACTCCAGACAGCAACGGAAAGCATTTTTATATTAAAACAAACAAGATGAATCCTGCATTGTGGTCTTCATCAAAAGAATCACTGAACTAACACTGAAAGTCCAGGCTCGTGCTGGAAGCCTCAGGCTGAGCTCCCCAATCCCCCCTTCCAGGGTTCCTTTGCCCTGAAGTTTGCGGGAGCAAGTTTAAGAAGCATCAGTATAACCCACTTCACAACTGGAGACCTGGAGGCCAAAAGACTTTCCCAAGGCTGTAAGCAGCCACCTGAGAAGTCACTGCCATTAGTCTTCGTCAGGAAGACTGACAGCGCTGCCCAGAAAAGCTCTCACCACTAACCAGGTGAGGCTGGGAGCAGTCCTTTCTAGAATGCTGGACCAGAAGCCCAAACAAGGATTTTAAGAGCTCCCCTTCCACCCTTGTTCCACCCTCTTCCACCTCAGGTGCACTCTTAACAAAGACATAATTAAATGAGCTTCTCAGTGAATGATAACACCACACAGCCTTTCATAAAACACGTGTCAAAGCCTTTCTTTAAGCAGCTGCACGTCATTTGGTATTACATGTAGCTTAGAGGCATCTGGATTCACACATATGCCATTATTTACTGTCTCTTTGCCAAAACTTTGAACTTTTCAACACTGCAGGTGGCCACCATTTGGACACACCTGATAAGAAAGCAAGTCAGAATAGGGAACATTTGTTCAGAAGATGGCAAAAAGGGGAGAGGAACCAGAAGACCCATTTAACAGTGTATCTCCATACAACACTCACCCAAGACCATAAAATAAAATCTAAGAACCCACAAGAGGCCCGGGGTTGGTGGAGACAGTTCTCCCCCAAACATCTTAATCTCCCAAAAGGAGCACCCCTTTGTCCCCTCTCCCCACAAAAAACATGGTGCACACCGAATGCAGATAAGTTAAGTAGCTCAGGACCCATTTTCAAAACCAAGGGTCACCCAAGCATCACATATTTGAAGAGGGTGGTGGTTGTAATCTTATCCCCAAGTTGATCAAACTTCCCAATCATATAGTGTTCAACTGCAGCACAGGTGAAAGGCTTGACTTAACGTCTGCAACCATCAGTCACTTTAAACGAACTCTTCACCTTCCGATGCCTTTCTCACTTGAGCCCTACAGGGGAAAAAGAACTGCCCTTGTAGGAAAAGTGGCCACCTGCCTGCTTGTGCCCCTCGGCTGTCTTATGAGCTGTATGGTGCACCAGAACAATCACGTCTATGAAAACACCAACAGCTGATGGTGCAGAGAAAGCCCAAGGTCAGCTCTCCACCTTGGAGCACACAGCCAAGATGGGGAGCCCAGATGGTTAATTCAAGACTCATCTAACACGTACAGAATCCTACTATGTGTAAGGTCCAAGGGAGGGGCTCAGAACGCAGTGACAGGAAGAAAGTCCACCACAGATGGCAAACAGTAAGATGCTGTCAGTTTGGAAACTGAAAGTTTAAGAACTCAGTTCAACGCGAATAATGCCCTTTTATTTTCAGAGCCCTTTTATGTGATCTGATCTGACCCCTCACAATAAACCTATAAGATAATCATTACTATTTTAATATCTGCTTTATTATCCTTGTGGGGCTCAAAAAGGTTACCAAGTCACAAACCTAGTCAGGTTGGAAGGAGACCTGCAAACCCTTCCAGGTCATTCACACAAACTTTTACAGACAGATACTTTCATTTAAAACACTCTTCAATCTTTACAACAGTCCAATGAGGTTTGTTGGGGGAGAGCGGGGTGGGGGTGGGGGGTGGGGTAATGAAGGGACAATCCCAGAGAGGGAAAAGCCAGGTCAGAGAGGTTAAATGTCAGAGAGGTTAAATAAAGAGCCAGGGTCACACAGCCAGCAAAGAGAAAGAGGAGTGTAATCTGAACCCAGGTTTCCCACTGCAAGGCCAGTGTCCATTTTTTTTTGTTTAACTCAGCAGAGAGGAGCATAGGCAACACAGCCAGGGCGGAGGCACGCACCAGGGAGAGCTGGGGATGGGAAACCAAATCCCACAGGTCCCTGGGGCATCAAACAGGAAACAGCTCACACTGGGGCCAAGCTGAAAACCAACTCTTGCCAAACCTGCTGCCCACAGTCATGGGCTTTCTAACCCAGCTCAGCATCCCTGAACCCGGCTCAGCTCTTCAGGTGGCTCAGTCCACACTTGTCTGAGTACCTCTGTGATAAAGCTGGGGTCAGAGATGAAAAGGCACAGAAGCGTGACCTTTCCAAACCAAGAGAGAGGGGAAGGCACCATCTGTCACTCCAAGTCCAACTCTGAACCTGCCAGCCAAGCTCCCTGCCTGTCATCCTCCAGTGGAACTTGGGACACCCTCCTCAGTGCAGACTGCTCCAGGGCTGGACATTACTCAGTCTGGCCACCTCCCTCTCTGCTGCTCTTGCAGATGGAAACCGGAAAGGACCCTGTCCTAGCTTGTTTTGCGGTGGTGTCTGTCACCTGCCACAGATAACCCAAAGACACTCCACAAAAGGGTACCCGTCCTGCCTACACACTCACAGACAACATTGACACCATTTACACACTTGTTTGAAGCAATTAAGTTCCGAAGAAGCCTATTGGAAAAAAACTTTTTTAAAAAATCAGAGGCCTAACACTCACACTTAGGAGACGCTTGAAGTGGACGCTGATTTCAATTTCTGAGTAAGTTCAGGGAAGGGTTCTACAACACGGAGGCGTAACGGGTGGTGGGCGTCCAGCACCAGCCACAGGAGCAGCTGGGTTTTTGACTTGTGCTTCCCTAAACACAACTTTAGAAAAGAAGAAACATGATGTTTATTTTTACCTGCAAGATGCTGACCTTGGAGATTCGAAAAGAACTTAAAAACTGATATCAAAAAAGTGACAGAGTGAACTTGCTAACTCTCAGGATGGAAAGGAGGGGGTCCTAAAGCCATCTGTCCGGTCCCAGACAAATCCCACAGATGTAATTTACATTAGTTTTGCAGGTGAGGGGGAATCGGGGTGCTGCTCGCGCTTTTGGCCTGGTTCAGCTCAGGGCTCTTTGAAGGTCGTCTCACTGTCACCTCGGAGTGCCGGAGCCCAGAATCCAGGCCACGCGGCGTGACTGACACGATGTCCTATGGGCACCCTTCTGGGCGCCCAAGGGCCTCCCGCAGGTGCGGCCAATGCAGGAGGGGGAGTGCCCCGACAGGGTCCCGGAGCCTGGCCTCCCCCGCCGCCACACATCACGCGCCCACACTCCCGCAACACCAGTGTCCTTCCCCTTCCAGCCCTCGGGCCCGATGCGCGGGAGGCACGGGTAAGCGGACCCCGAGCTTACCCGCGAGAGGCGCACGGAGCGCGGGCCCGTGGCAGCCGCGGTCTCCGGGGCCTCCGGCGCGGAGCTGCCCCGGCGCTCGGTTCTCCTGGCCGCCTCCTCCTCGTTGTCCTCGGCCCGGCCCCGGCCGCCCGGCAGCTCCAATTCCCTCCGCAGCAGCCGGTCGGGCGGCACCGGGGCGCACGCGGCGGGGCTCGGCTTCGGCGCCTCCTCCTTCTGCTGCCCGCCCGCCAACTTGGTGGTCCGGGGGTCCCGGACGCGGGGGTGGTCGGGGTGCTCGGGGCGCTCGGGCTCCCTCCCGTGCGCAGCCCCTCTCCGAGAGGCGTCTCACTCGCCTCGCGCGGGCGTCACGGGCTCGGGGCGCGCGGGGGCGGCGGCCGGGTGGGCCGCGGGGCGACAGGCGGGGGCGCTGCTGGGGACGCGGGCAGTGATGCGGGCGCCGCGGCGCGGCCTCTCGCCATGGCTCCCCGGCGGGCAGGCGGTTCGCACCTCCCCTTCGCGCTGCCGTCACCGCCCGACGCGCGCCAAGCCCTCCCCTTCCCCGGCCCCGCCCGCCACCCCGCGCCGCCACCTGCGGGCTGCCCTCCAGGATGCCCAACGGGCGGGCGAGTGTCAGCGCCCGGAGCTTCTCCAGCCGTGGCCCTTGGCCCGCCCTTGCGCTTTTGTCCGCGCCTGCTGGGCACAGAGAAGACCTGGCGAAATACCTGGGTCGGGAAAAGCTATCACACCCGCCCCGAGCGCTTAACTTCTCGGTGTCCGTCCAGAATCAGTCTAAAGGGAAGATGGGACTCGCAGGGGTACTATTTGCCATGAACGCAGTGCAAGTCCAGGCGTTTTGTTCTTGCAGACGGGGCCGTCCCCGAGGAAAGCAACCCTTAGTCTTCAAGTAGGGGAGGACAGAGTCCGGAAGTGGGGGAGATGTGGAGGGGCAGTCTGAACAAAATGCCACCAAGGGTGAGGGAGGAGGCGGGGGTGCGGGGGAATCAGGAAACGATCCAGGAAGTAAGTGCTCACAGGCCACTCTATTATGCAAATCACTGATGGACTGTTTAATGGGGAGCAACCCGCGTTAGCTCACTTCCAGTTGAGGCTGCTGAGTCCACAGCTTTGGCCTAGTCTCTGCCCAAAGGTCATAGAGGACATTGGGAGGACACGAAGAAGACAGACCAGAACCAAGGATGCGAGGAAACTAAACTGTAGACAACCTGGTTTGGAGTGTTGGAAGAGGACTTGAAGACACCAAGTGTCTATAGTAAAGACTGGTTCAGGCAAGAGTCATCAACAGATGCTAACGCCAGGGGGGATTTTTACTGGGGAGCAGATATTTGCCTGGGTTAGCGTGTCTCCTCATAGATAGTTTAGGCTTAGTAGTAGCAAGAGGAAAAGGTTCACTATACAAAGGGGCAGGCAGACAGCACCTTGGCCAAGTGATCAAAATTAACATCACCAATGAGAGCAGATGGATATCATGTCCTCAGAATACATCACCTATGCAGTATTCCTGGGGAGAATGCGTAACCTGAATCTAATGATGGTGAAACCTCAGACAAACCCAAAATGAAGAACATCTGCTAAAGGGGCTGTATTCTTCTAACATGTCAGTGTCATAAAAGACAGAAGAGTTGGGAAATGTTCCGGATTAAAGGGTGTTAAAAGTCATGACAACTAGATGTGATTCCTGGTCCTAGACTGGATCCTGTACTGGAGAGGGGGAAATGCTATAAAGGACATTCTAATGGATGAAATTGGAATCCTGAGATTAGATTAAAGTTGTGAATCAATGTTAAATTTGCTGATGCTGATAATCTGTGCTATGGTCACATTGAAGAATATCCCTATTCTTAGAAATACACACTGGAGTACCATGAAGGGGTAGAGGGGCATGGCGTATACAACTTACCTTCAAATGAGTCAGAAAAAGAAAAAGACATGTTGATAGGAAAAAAATGACAAAGTAAATGGGGCAAAAGTTTAGCAATCTGGGTACAGGGTGTACTGTAATGTTTCTGTAAGTTTAAAATTATTTCCAGAAAAAAGATTTTTAAAAAACCATCAAGTAGGGCATGAGGTGTGATGGGAAGAAGGCAAGGTGTGGTTACAAAAGGGCAAAACAAAGGATCCTTGTGGTTTTAGAGATTGTGGTTTTAGAACAGGTGATCAAATTTATATAAAACTTACACAAATCAAGCTGGGGAAATCTGAGTAAGATCAGTAGATTGTATTGATGTCAATATCCTGGTTGTGATATCATATTAAAGTTTTGCAAAATATTGTCATCAGGGGAAACTGGGCAATGTGTATTATTTCTTACGACTGAATGTGAATCTACAATGATCTCAGTTAAAATTTCAGTTACAAAAACAGTGATCAAGTATATGCCAGGTTTGTACGTACATGAGCCTGGCTGCCTGGGAGTATGCAAGAGCAGATGTGCTGGAGCTGTCTCCTAGTGGGTTTAGAGTAGACATGGGGCTGTTACCAACAGTGCGGGTTTTTTAAGAAAAAAAGACGATTTGAAGTATAACTGACAGATCAGGTTCCTTCCAGTTCTGTAATTTAAGAATCCTAGAACCGGGGGATCTTTGAGATCATCTAGTCCAACCTTCTCATTTTCAGGAAACTGTGGGCAGAAAAGTGGTACATGACCAGAGGAGCATCAAATTAGTGGTAGACCCGAAACTACAACTCTTGTCTGCCGCATATGTCCAATGCTCTTTGCACCTTTACCAGCTCCCCATCACTTTCTATATCCATGAGATTCATCAAGTTTCGTACAGAATTTTGAAGTCATTCATTCATTTTGAGTCTCTGATGGTGGGCTGTGGGAGCAGGGTCCTGACATCTGGTTTCCAGCACCAGATGACAGACAAGTGGATACCAGCCCTGAGGAGGAGGGGCTGGTTTCCCTCTATACTCTCAGTTTGGAGGGAGCAGGTAGCAGGTGGAGCCCCTGGAGTGAGGTCCCAGCTATGGGCCCTGAGCTACTTGGAGCTGCTGGGGACCTGCTGCTGCTGGGAGTCAAGGGTGCAGGGACCTGGGAGGGAAGCAGGATGGGTGCACAGAAGAGAAAACAGGAATTGCCCTGGCAGGTCCCAGCCTTATTTAGTATCAGACCAAGGTCTCTGCGCCAGAAGCAACTCTGGCCTCCCTTGGGCCATAGATAGCCACTGTATTCTTTCCTTTTGTCAAGTCAAATCAAAATCAGCATGTTTATTAATATTTGCCAGGCTCAGAATTAGTAACTGCAGGAAAATACAAAAAAGAGTATCTGATGCTGCCCTTTAGGAAGCCAAAATACAGCCAGGGACCCAAGATGGAAATGTAGAAAGTGATCTGATGAAAGAATTAAAATGCCAGCTTTGTTAGCTTTGTTCTCCTCAAAAGCAGTGTTGTAGAAGGACTTGAGGGCAGGTAGTTTCTTTGGGGAAGTGATCCCATGGAATAGGGGTGGAAAAGGGAATCAGGATCAGAAAGAAAGAAACAGGGAGGGGGAGAAAGCCCATCCAAGAGTGTGTAATCTAGGTGGTCACTTCTGTCAGCAACTGGGCTCAGCCCCACTGGAACCTTCTGAGGAACTGTGCAGGATGCAAGAGAGAAGGAAGGAGCATTTATCAACCAGCTCCTATCTCCCACTGGTCAAGTGGATGCTGAGCAAACAAGTGAACTGAGAGGGTATGACACAAAACATACATACATAAAATGATGTCTGACTCACCAGCAAAAAAGCAGCCTGTGAGCAGAGAGTTTTTTGGCCTGCTTCAGTCGTTGCAGCATTCCCAGCACCAAGAATAGTACCTGACCTAGAGTAGATGCTCAATCAGTAGATACAGAGTGAGTGACATACTAGTTCAGATCAACAATAGAAGAAATAATTAAAAGTAGATGCATGTCATTTTTCAACAGGTTGTGTGTGAGTGCCTGTTTGTGCCAGGTATTGGATAGGCTAGGGGGATAGTGTAGTGAACAAGAGGTACAGCCCTGGCCCTATTGGACCTTTCAGTCTAGGAGAAGAGCCAGATAATATGACACACACACATATTCAACTAGCTTGTGACAAGTGCTATGAAGGGAAGGATCCAGGCACTAGAAGTAGGTAATAGGAGTATCTGCGGTACATTACTTGGTCCGGGAGGACCTGTCTAAGGAGGAGACACTTAAGTTGAGACCCAGAGAAGGAATAGGAGCCAACGATGCAAAGAGGAGGGGGCAGCATCAGACAAAGACCCAGAGGCAGCAAAGAGCCTTGATGGCTGGAGCCGTGGTGAAGAGCCAGACTACGGGCCTGTGATGGTTTCAGTAAGAAGAAAAGAGTTTTAGGTAAGGGAGTGATGTGGTCAAATGCACATTTTTTAAAACCCCCTCCAGCTGCTGTGGGGAGGATGGATTCAAGTAGACAACCAAGAACGGGTGTGAGAAAGACCAGACCACTTCAGGGCCAGCCAGGGAGGCTTAGCTCCACAGTGTCCGCCTCCACCTCCATGACTGACAGTAACACTTCAATACTATGCTAAAACCCCGCTGTAACATAAATGGTCCTCCAAAATTCAACTGGTAGTGTGTAGGGGTGCATAACTGAAGCTTAATTAAAATTAATACTTTTCAGACAATCTTACAGTTACTATGTGGGGGGAAAAAAGAAAAATGTATTTTCTATTCATTTAGGAACTTTGTAGGAAATAGACCAGTTATTACAAATAAAGCATCAGCTTAAACTGAACTGAGAGCATTCTAAATGATCATGGGACGCTCACCTATAACCACCTCCCGCACATACACCTTTCCAGGAAAAGAACGTGAACCTGCCACCGTTCCAGGAGAGCAAAGGTCCAGTCACATTATATCCACATTCACATGATCATTGAATGTCTCATCCCAGGGTTTTAATCTAACCTTTCTTGAGCACGTGTATGCACCAAGCACTGCACTAAGTGCTTTAATAGTACGAGCTCATGGAATCCTCACAGCAACTCTGTGGGATAGCTATTGTTATCTGCAGTTTATAGACAAGGAAACTGAGCCTCAGAGAAGTTAAGTAACTTAGCCAAATTCACACACTAGTGACAAGGTCACAATTCAATCCAGGCTTCTAGCCCCATATGACTGATTAAACACTTCAATTTTGTCCTTCTGCAAAGTAAAGGAAACTCAATCTCAGTCTTGGAAGATGGGAAGAATAGAGAGGTGAGGATTGGAGTGGGAAAGGAATCCTAGGATTAAGATATGTAGCCTTATGTTTATAATGCTGACCTGTTGTTCATGGATTCCTTAGAAGTAAGGAAAAAATAGATTGATACCAATAACTTCTTTGTAGCATGTGGTGTTAATCTCAAGGCTTTAAACACAATCTATGCACAGATAACTTCCGAAGTTATC